AGAGAGGAGACAGGAAGTCTGCCTGGGATGAGGCTGCTTGGGACTCTGTTTGTTTGTCCAGACACTAAAGACTCTCAAAGGAGAAACGAGGGGGGCAAGAGGAGGGCCCAGAACCCTCTGTTTCCACAGCTTGTCTGACCTGACACAGCTTTCTAAGCCTGAAGACTCTTTTTATTTCCGAAGAAACAATCTGAGACATCTTCAGGGAAGGAAGGAGGGAGGCTGATCTGTGATTCTACCTCCAGGGCAAGTCACTAAACCTCCCAGGGCCTCAGTTTCCTCATCTGCACAATGGGGATAGCAACCCCAGGGTTGTTATAAGGATGAAGTGACTCCAACTGCAAAGCTTCAGGAACAGTGTCCGGCACTTAGCATGCACTATAAGAGTGTTTGCTACACAAACCTTCTGGAATCTACAATAATGACCAGGCGACACCCTAACACCACACTGGGGAGAGACTCTGCTCCCAAAGTCTGTCACACCTACTGTCCCATCTCACCCTGTCACAAACAGTACCCAGAATCTAGCAGTCAAATACCTGTTGAATGAATGAAGGACCAAATGAATGAGTGAATAAGTGAGGTATACAGGATCTAAGCAGTAATACACAAGTTTTTTTTTTTTTAAATGCATGGTTGTTAAGAACTCAGGATAGTGAGTCACACAGACTCAAATGCTGGCTCCACTACTAAAAGTCAGCAAGGGAGCCTGTCACCTTCTCTGTAACACAGTACCTGGCTCGGACCTGGGAATTAAAAGAGATGTTATGTAGGGCCGGGCGCGGTGGCTCAAGCCTGTAATCCCAGCACTTTGGGAGGCCGAGGCGGGTGGATCACGAGGTCAAGAGATCGAGACCATCCCGGTCAACATGGTGAAACCCCGTCTCTACTAAAAATACAAAAAATTAGCTGAGCACGGTGGCACGTGCCTGTAATCCCAGCTACTCGGGAGGCTGAGGCAGGAGAATTGCCTGAACCCGGGAGGCGGAGGTTGCGGTGAGCCGAGATCGCGCCATTGCACTCCAGCCTGGGTAACAAGAGCGAAACTCCATTTCAAAAAAAAAAAAGAGATGTTGTGTAACGCTCTCAGCAAATGCAATTCTTCCCTCTGGATGCAGATGGCGGAGGTAAGGCCCACAGAGGCAAAGCTGGCAGAGGGGGCCATGCTCACCTCCTGCCTTGCCCCGCCTGCAGGTTGAGCACGGCTTCCTCCTGGGTCATCTCACTGTGATGCAGAGAGCACAGGCTCAGTTTGAATTCAGGCTCGGCTGTGCCCTTTCGAGCCACCTCCTTAGGCCTCAGTTTCCTCATCTGTATCAGGAGGACCATAATCTGTACCTCACTAGGAGGTTGTGCACTGAGGCCGCTAAGCCCAGGACGTAGTCTTCAGCAAATGGCCAAGTTGGTATTATCATCCCTGCCCCTGGGCTCTATCTCTGGAAGCTTCCTGGGTGAAGCCTGCTTTGATCCTTCCCTGCATCCACTCCAAACTCTGCGGGGAAAGGTGGCCGACTTGAAGGGCGGAGGTGGGCAGGCAGCCTGTGGTGAGGGGGACAGGCCCAGGTGAGCAAGGAGCTCAGGCAGGAGGGGTGGTAGCAGGCAGCCAGAGCTGCTCTCAGGAACTGAGGGTCCAGACAGGTCTGGCCTCTTGGGTGCAGGAGGCTGGACAGAGAAGGCAGTACCCTAGAAACACCCTTGCATGTGTCTAGGGAGATGTAACATCTAGGCCCATGAGCAGCATGGTCCTGTGGGGGCTGTGGAGGCTCAAGAGAAGGAGGAGGAGGAAAGGACAGGAAGGGGGTACCTCTAGCTAGGTCCCCTAGTGCTAGGCTGAGACCCTAGACTTTGTCCCAAAGGCCCTGAGGAGCTACAGAATCTTCTTGAGCAGAGAAGTAACCTGGTCGGACTTCTGGGGTTTATCTGCCCCATATGTAGGACAAACTGGAGAGGGAGAGAATGGGGACAAGGGTACTGGGAGGGGGCAGGTACAATTCCCTCCTGGCCTCTGATTGGCCATGTGAGGTCAGGGATAGAGGACACATGCCAGGCAAGGCTAGCATAGCCATCTGAGATGCCCTGGGAGGATGCCCAGGGCAGCCTGTTCCATGTTCCTTTCAAAGGATTGCCAGAGCTGGTGAGTCAGGCAGGGGGTGGGAGGGTAAGGCCTTGGGAGGGGAGCTTTGGTCTTCTGGGGCTGTGGGGTTTCTTATGTGACACTAAGACCCCCAGCTCAGAGAAGCTGAAACTGTGGGGAGGCAGGAACTGAGGCAAGGATCCCAAGAGAGGAGGGCCTGGTGGGGGCAGAGGGAGAGGTCACGTCGAGGGAGCCGACACAGCGTAGGGGACCCAGCTGGGCCTGGGAAGCAGCTGGCCACTCTCCAGGGCTCTCTTCAAGGATTTGCTATGAGAGCTGGGCAAAGTATGTGACCCTCTCTGGGGCTCTGTTTCCTCCAGTTTATTTTCAGTTTCACATTTCAGAGTTGGAGAGAATGGTACTGCAGGAAGCCTTGGGTATTCCCAGTGCCCAGGGTGGGAAGGAAGAGGGTGCAGGTGCCCAAGGAAGAAACTGGGCTCAGGACAGGCGCTTGGAAACCACCCACCCATGGAGGGAGGTGGGTGGTGCTCACATGTGCTTGGTGTTGTGAGGACACGTCCACGCCCACACACACATGCAGGCTGCCAGCGCCCAGCCTCAGACCCCTGGGTGTGGGGCCAGGAGGAATGAAGTCAGTCTCAGAGAATCCGCTTTGGGCTCCCACACCAGGCCTGGGGGTCTGATCTCAAGTACAAGGCTTGGCCCTCCCTGGGCTGGGATTTTCCACGGTCCAGCTTAGCAGGGTGGGGAGGGTGGAACCAACGATGGGGGAGACTACTGCTCCCTCTCTGGCCTCTTTGTGAGCCCTAAACTAGCCTGCAACCCCCTCCCCAGCAAAAAACACTCCCAACCCACACCCTCAATGAGTAGGGGAAGCGGCACTTGGAGGGTACTGACAACCATCTCTTGCAGCAATGCTTAGACATTGCCTCCTCTGGAAGTCTCCCTGAGCCCCAGCCCCTGATTGGGAGGGCCCTCATCTGGGCTCCCAACGCCCCCAGCCCCACCAATGCTTGCCTAATCACAGCACTGAGATGCCCCTCCTGCTAGACTTGCCCAGGGAAGGGCCTGGACTCGATGCATGTGAACACACTCAGCTTGGCACCTACGATTCTGCCTTCAGGGGAGAAATGTTTCTGACCCAAAAGGAACTGTGGGGCTCAGGGGCAGTGGCCAGAGGCCTGCTAAGCACCAAGCACCCTGGCTCCAGACATGGCTTCGCCCTGTCCCATTCCCCTCTCAACCAACTGGTTTCCTTAAGAACAGACCAAAGAGAGGCCCTAGAAAACCCACTGGCTTGGAGCCCAGATGCCAAGTCCCAGGCCTGCCTCTGCCAGTATTGTGGCATTTGAGGGCTTGGTTTTCTCTGCCCAGAGGTGGGGCCCATCAGGCCAAGCCTCATGCTGAGGTCTTGCATTCTAAGAAAAGCCACTGCAAAAGTTTCACACCCTCTAGGTAAAACATCCTGTACTCCAAGGGGCCCTAGGGCAGCTGATGCATGATTGTAATGTGCCCTTCTGCAGGGATGGGGCAAGTACCTGGTAAGGACCACAGCAGGTGGATGCATCCTTCATCACATCACAGAAGGACCTCAAGAAAAATCAGGTTCTTAAAGTAGGATTCAGCACCCAACTCAAGTGCTACACCTGGGATGTGAGGGAGTGGGTGCTCCCAGTGCAGACACTCCTCTCCCCTAGTCTTGGCCTCCAGCAGTACCCAGGGAGACAGGCACTCCATCAACAGCAGCCCCTCACTGAGGTCAGCTTGGCTGGAGACAAGGCATCAACCCTCTGCTGACAGAGGCTGAGGAGGAGGCTGGGGTGGTAGCACCTACAGTGCGGGGCACCATAGGGCTCAGCCCTTACTTGGTGGGCCAGGCACAGCAACCTCAATGGGGAGCAGAGAATCATGGGTAGAGGAAACTGACAACAGCTTGAAACAGGCAAAGTAGGGTTGGACTACAGAAGCATCCGGGATCGAGTGGAAAACCTTGACCAAAAAGCTATCTGTAGGGAGAGAGTAGCAGGGAGAGGGATTCCAGGGCAGCAGAGAATGGCTGATGGCCATCCAGCCCCCGCCAGACCCACCAGTCAACCCTTGTCACAGTAGCCCCATCTGCTAATAGCATGTGTGGAAGCTGCCACTCTGCTGTGTCCTCATGTGCAGAGGGCTTTAGCTTTCCCAGGAGGAGGACATATCCTTATCCCCTGAAAAGCCAGAGGGGGTCTGTCCACAGCTGGGGCTCTCCCCCAGGGCCAGGACTAGGGAGAGTGGACAAGGCCCGTGAGGTGTTTCTCTTTTCTTTCTGTCTTTCTTTCTTTCTTTTTTTTTTTTGACTTGGGGTGCAAAATTTCAGGGCATGCAAAAAAAACTCAGTAACTGAGATAATATTTAATGTAATCTCTTTAAAAATCAAAATTAATGGAAAAATATCTGTGATTAATAAAATATCCAAATTTTAAATAAGGACAGGATCCGTGTTGCTGATTTTTCATCTCGCCTCAGGCTCCAATATGGCTTGGCATACCACTATTACGGACTCTACTGAAAAACGTGGATATTTCGTTTATCACAGAGTTTTGTTTTTTAACATTAATTCTGATTTTAAAAAAAATCCATCTCAATATTGCTCATCTCAATTATTGCGTTATTTTGATAGCCCCTGAAATTCTGCACTCAGGCCAGTTCCTGACGGGTCTCTCTTGCCCCAGCCTTGTAGACTCCCCGAGGGAGTCCCGACTCCCCGCTGGAGCACAGGCTCTCCTCTAACCTCCTGCGGACTCAGGCCAGGCTCACACCATGCCCAGTGATGGGCAACTTACCACACCTCCAGGGCACCCCTTAAGGCCAGTCTGGCCCTGAAGACTCAGGTTTCTGATGCTCCTTGCCTTACCCTGTGAGCTGGCATAGGACATCTCTAAGGGGGAAAGGAGATGCCCTCATTGGAATGAGGGAGAGGCAGGATGTGGGGTTCCTTCCTTTTGTCCTCAGATGACCCATGCCAGGTACAGAAGGCGCCTCCTCCCAAAGCTAGGCTAGTCCCTCCACCAAAGTCAGGATCAGAGCCCACACCTGCTTGGCCAACCCCTGGCACTGATGATGCCTGCGTGCGGCTTAAGCTGGGGGTTGAGGTGCCAGGTGAGATGCTAGGCTGTTGGCTGGGTGGGGTCGGGAGGGGGCGCTGCTCCTCGCTTAGCAGCTCAGAGGAGGCTTCCGGGAATATTCTGCGGAGGGGCCCGGCGCCCGGGGCAGTTCCCCGCGGCCAGGGGCGCGCGCCGCCAAAGGGGCGTCGGGGGTCGGGGGCGGTACTCACCGCGGCCGTTCTGGTTGGGCCGGTACACGCTGCCCACGCTGAGGCGGCCCTGCTGCGCGCCGTTCCGCTCCCCACCCGGCTGGGGCGCATCGGAGCTGCGCACAGGCAGGTAGGGCGGCTCCTGCGCGCGCGGCGGCGCGTACGCCTCGGGGGGCTGGTTGGCGTAGGGCGGGTACCAGCCCAGGCGCGGGTCTCCGCCGTAGGCCTGCGCTGCGTCGGGGCCGGGGTCGGGGTTGGGGTAGGTCTGTTCCAAGCCCGCGGTGCCCTCGCTGTACAGGCTGTGCGAGTAGCGGCGGTCCAGGCCGTCGGGGGGCGGCGGCGGCGCGTAGGGCCTCTCCGGGGCCGGGTAGAAGCCCTGCGGCGGGTACTCGGGCAGCTCCTCGCCACCGCCGCCGTACTCCTCGTAGCGCGCCCGGGGCTGGTAGGGGTAGATGACCCCTGCCGAGGCCACGGCCGCCGCCCCCGCGCCCACGCCGCCGCCCGCGGGCCGGTAGTACACGAAACCCTGGTCGTAGGTCCGCGACGCGGGGTCGTAGTTCTCGTACTGGCTGACGAAGGGCGCCTGCGGGTAGGGGAACTGCTGCGGGTAGGAGGGCGGCTGGCGGTAGGTGCTGGCGAAGGCCGAGGCTGAGACCGAGGAGGCGGAGCCCCCGTGCCGTTGCTGGGAGACGGAAGTGCGGGCCCGGGCCATGCCGGTGCTGTCCCCGACGGCCACCTCGCGCCAGTTGTCGGGCACCTGGCCGAAGCCGAATGGGTGCCGCGCCTGGCCGCGCACGGTGTCCGAGCCCACGCGCCCCGGCAGGGGCAGGGACGGTGCCTGCCGACGACGGGGGCTCCCGTGGCTGCGCCGCTGCTGGGCCTGGGGCGCGCCGGCCAGCAGCACCCGGGAGCTACTCTCAGACCGCTGAGGCCCGGGCGGCACGTACTCTGAACCCGAGTTGAGCAGGCTGTACACCTGCCCGTTGTTCTCCCACTGGATCAGCTGCCGCCAGCGCCCGGGGTCCGAGCCCTGCCCAGGCTGCGCCTGCTGCCCGTGCACCAGCACGCACAGGCAGGCGCCCCACACCAGGGCCCCCAGCTGCCGGCTGCCTTGGGCCACAGCCATGGTGGCCCCTCAGCAGAGGCCGAGTGGACAGAGAGGCTCTCAGGAGTGGCCCCCTGTGCGCGCTTCTCTTCCCACGGCCTCGAGGACAGGAAGGCTCCTTGCTCGCTCCAGCTCTAGCTTTGTCCATGCTGGCCTTGTCCCGAGCGGGACGGCTCTTCCGATGACAGCATTTCGAGGCCAAAGGGTCAGGGCAGGGCAGGGGCGATGCCCAGGGCTGCACGAGGCTCTCCGCAGGGCACCGGGCGGGCAGGACCGCCTGTGGGCCTTACATGGCCAGCCCACCACTGGCTGTCCGCTCGGCTGGCGCTTTCCCACTCTGAATGAATAAGCAACAGGCTTGGAGCGTCGGGAGGCTTCGGCCTCCCGGTCCGCCTGCTAGGGCCTCCTCCGCGGGGCCCTATGGCCCGCCGGCTTTTAGCTATGCGCGGGTCCCACAGCTGGAGTGCTCCCTCTGTCCCTAGGAGTTCCCAGCCAAGCCACAGACAGGCCTCTGAGGAAGGGAATCAAGCAGGGAGTAGGAGGGGGCCTCTGAGGACCCGGGCCTGGTAAGTGGGGGCTCTGGCAGGCAGAAAAGGGCTGGGGTGTCAGCACCACCCTCCCCATTCCTCTCTGCTTTGGATGCAGTATCCCTGGTCTCCACCTTGCTCACTCTAATCCTGGGGCCCAGGTGCACCTCAGCTCTTGTACCTGCATAGAGAGGCACTGAAGCTGCAGCTTTTCCCTCGTGTCACACCTCAGGGCCTTACTTTCCCGGCCTGAAGAGTGGGGTATGTTCCTGGGCTGAATATCACTTGTGAGCTCATAGGAGAGATCAATGTCTCACACATCACATATGGTTTCTGTCCTGCATCTCTTCCTTCTGCATAGCCTGGGAATAACTTGAGTGTACACATGGATAAAATGAAACCCAGGGGCTGTGTTTGATATGGGACAGGGGTCACTGTGGGGCAGAGAAGCCTGTAAGCATCGAACAACAGAAGGGAGGTTTCCGGAGAACGGGCCTGGTCTTGTGGTTATGTGGCTCGTCCCTTACTCTGTCTGATCCAGCTGCCACATCTGACCAATGGAAGATTAGGCCAGATGGTTCTTGAGAGTGTTTTGGGAGATTCTGTGTTCCTTCTGGGAATGGCAGGGATAGGAGGGGTCCCAGAAGTTTGAACACTTTGGCATCTAAGAAATTGCACTTCAAATTCTGTGCCTCTTCAGGCCTCCCCGGGGCTGCCTTCTCTAACTGGGTTCCTGGGAACCGGAGGGCAGAAATTGGCCTCTTGTGCTTATGAACAAGGTAGGAAGGACCTGTCCTTAATTCGGCCCCTGTATATTCCTTCTTCTTTTGGAAACTCCTGGAGCCCACCTAGGGAGGAGGCAACTAGAGTGGACATTCCTTGGGAACTGTGGGCCTCCCAACCCCATGCTCGCCAGGTAGTGTTTGTTCCCCCATTGCACTGTTCTTCAGGACTGGGGCTTGGACTCCTGCATGTCTCTGCCCTTTAAAGGCCTACAATCCAGACAGGAAGGTAGGGGGCTTCCAACACCTCCGGGCCAGCAGCCTGTCAGTGCTGGCACCTCAGCTCCCCACCGTGGGGTTTCCATCTCAGACTCCAGACAAGATTCCTCCAAAGAGCCACTGGTGTGACTGACACCAAGCAAGATGCTGAGACAGGGCTCACTGAGGGCTGGGACCTGGAGGGTTAAGACTTCCCTCCCTCCTGCTTGCCCCCTGCAGTGTTGGCCTCTACTGCTTACAATCCCTGGGGTCCTGTAGGGCCCACCCGCCAGCCAGATGGGCAGCAGCGGCTTCAGAGGAGGAGGAGAAGTGGAAACAGGCCTCTGGGTACCCCTAGGCAGGGCAGGAAGGGAAGAGGAGTGGAGGGAGGAGGACAGGATGACTGTGAGGATGGGAACTCAGTTGCCCTAAAGTGGAGGCAGGACCCCTTGCCTGGGGTCAGACAGCAGAGCAGGGACTGCCTCAAGGCTTTGGGTGTGTGGGGATCAGGGCACAGGCCATTCCATTCAGCTGGCCTTGGAGCCAGCTCTTGGCGTGAAACCTTACCCCATGCTGGCTCCTGCTCCTCTCTCTTTTTTCTTAAGGTAGAATCAGAGTGAGTCAGAGGAGCCAAGTTTCCTGTTAGGCTCTGTTTGAATAAACTCTGCTCTGAACATAGCTTGGGCCTCTGCACAGATTCCCCTGGCCAGGAATACAGTCCTGCCAGCCATCCCTGCTGAGATGGAGAGCCGGGGGGTCTACACTATGACTTGAGCTAGGGACCTGGCCTGGCCCAGCCACTCCCCAGGAAACCTTTTTAAGCTCTCAGAGCTTCAGAGTCCCGTCTGTGACCTGGGGGTAATCATACGTTTCTTGTGGCATATTTGGGAGGATGGAATGAGAGGATTATGAAAAGTCCCCAGCACAGAGCCAGACATGTGGCCACTATTTTCTTTCTTCCCTCTTGACTTGTAAGAGAAGGGAGGGGTTTCTCTCTTTGGGGTGACCCCCACTCCCACTTCCTCTGTCTTTCCTGTTTTTATCTGTCTTCAGCATCTTTCCTTGCCCAGGATGAACCTTGTACAGGGGGGCCAGAGGTGGCCCCTCTGCCAGAGCTGTCCTCTCCCTCCCAATGACCTCATTCTGCTTGGGTCTAGGTCTCCTGTACTGGCTGACAGGCCCAGCAACTCTGTGAGCCCAGGGGAGCCTGCCTACCTTCACCTCTCCTCACACGGGGCGAAGCCTTGCCTCAGTGGCTGGAGGTGTCCTGGCATCCTTAGGTTGAAACCTGCAGGGTGGGAGCCTCAAGAGACCTGGGCAGGCTATGGAGGGTGCAGAGCTTGGGTGAGATGAGGGCTTGGACTCTCGGGCTAGGCTGGGCCAGAGCTGTCTGGGGGGAGGGCAGCTTCTCTCTCCGCCTGTCCCTTCAGGCTGGGATTCACACCCACTTTTTTAAGACCCAGGCATGTGCTTGAGGCTTGTTGCCAGTTCCTGGCACTAGGAACCAGCACCAAAGGCCCCTGGGAGGGCTGGTGATAGAAGGCTGAAAGAGCCTGTTGATTGCGCACGCACGACTTGATTAAGCCCCTACCGCGTGCTCAGCTCTGTGTTGCTGGGCCTCCCGCGGAGCAGCCAGGGTCCTGTGACCCTGTCATGGAAGTCCGGGCTCTGGAAAGTTCATGGGGGAGCCAGGAAGCAGTAGGCCTGACCAGCAGCAGGTTTGGGAGCAGAGAGGGGTCAGGAGCTGTGGGATTCCTCACTTGCTCTGCAGAGGGAAGGACCAGGAGGCCCACTGTGGGTTGGAATTTTCTGTGGGGAAGCTATGAGAGCAGGCCCTGGAGCATCCAAGCCCTCCATCTTCCAGACTGCGCTGTAGATGGGTTTTGGGCTGCACTGGGAATCCAAGACCCAACCCAGGCAGCTGCTGCCTCTGGAAAGCAGGCTGGAGGAAGTGCTGAGTGAGGAGGCTGGGCGAGCTGGCACAGAAAGCGCTGACTCTGCAGGGAGAGGACCACCGAGTGACCACTGCCAGCTGGGCCCCATGTCCACCCCTCCCCCGCAGCCACATCTGGCACAATGGTGGGGAGGGGGACCCAGTCCCTAGGGCCGAGGCAACCTAGGAGGGGGCCTGAGGAGGGGGCCAGAACCCTGGGTTTGGAAGTGTTTCTTCAGGGCTGGAACTCCACTCTGGAAGTGGGGGAGGTGAGGTCAGAGCCTTTTCAAGGGACTAATGGGTTGGGGGATGGAAGGAACCCACCCTTCTCTAGGACCCAGGGGAATTCTGTGGCTCTGGCCACTTCCCAGTTGGTTTCCTCCCAGCTCTCCCTGCCCCTTCCCCCAAGGCTCCCAGGGGATTTGGAAATAACAGAGCTGGGCATCCTGGTTGGGCTCTGTGGAGGCGGGAAGCCTCTTCAGCCCCTTAGAGCTTCTCCCCTCCCTGACTTTCAACCCTCCCCAGAGTCTGGGGCAGGCGGGCTCTGAGTGGCTGCAGAAAGGTTAACATTCCTGCCTCTACCTCCACCTCCAACCCCACCCCTGACCCTAGGCGGGGAGGAAGGGAGGATTCTGTGTAGTTTTCTGGGGCCTTCTGGGTGGGAGGGCCCTGAGCTGGCATTCATGGGGGTAAGAGATCAACTGCAACTGTGCCCTACCCGAGGGAGAGAACTGGCAAATCCAAGCAGGGCACCAGGCCTTTGGGACACAGTCCAGCAGAGCCCTGCAGAGCTAGTAGGGAAACCAAGGCAGGAGCCCCTGGTTCTGACTAACATCCTGACAAGGTTAAGGGAGGGCTTGCACGCGCATGCTCTCTCTCTCTCTCTCTCTCTCTCTTTCTCTCGCTCCTTTTCATCTCTATAACTTTCTCTGGGACATCTCTGGGTTTCTCTAGCCTTTTCTTTGTTTTTGTTTTTTTAAAAAGCATAATCTTGCTACGTTCCCCAGGCTGGAGTGCAGTGGATTCACAGCGGCCCTAAACTCCTAGGTTCAAGCCATCCTCCTGCCTCAGCTTCTGGGACTGCAGGTGCACACCACCATGCCTGGATCTCTATAGCTTTTAAATTTTCCGCAGTAACCGCCTTCCATCTTACGCATTCATTTCTGCCTGTGGCCATCTCTGTGATTTGCAGCCTCCATCTGTCACCGTCTGTTTCTGTTCTTCGTCAACTCTCACACACTGCCTCCCTTCATCTCTATCTGCTGATGTTTCTCCCAATGAACGATTCCTTCATTCATCCACTCGCTCACTCACTCAGCATGTTCCCTGGGTATCTGTGGAATACCAGGCCCTGTGCTGACTGCAGTCATCACAGAGAGCAGCCAGACCGGGCAAATCTCCAGTGGGTACCCAGGCTGCTGGGGGTGTCACAAGTGGTAGTCCTGGGTGGAGGTGAAGACATGGCACTGACTCTCTGTGACCTTTGGGAGGCACTTCTATTTCAGTCTCATGTCTGTCTGTCCTCCCATTTACCCATCCATCAGCGTCTGTCAGTGACTCAGTCCTTGCTTCACCTTCATGAGATGGGTTTTTCTCTGCTTTCTGCAGAGCTCACGCAGTTGACTTATTTCCCCATGGTGGGGGTTGGTAGTGGAGTTGGAGAAGGGGAGGTGGTGTGGGGTGACAGTGGAGGTGGGTGATGGAAATGTCAGAGGCATTCCAGCCAGAGGGACTCCATCTTGAATGGGGCTGGGTAAAATGAGGCTGAGACCTGCTGAGCTGCATTTCCAGGAAGCTAGGCCTTGGTACTAACAGGGGATTTGGAAATGACAGAGCTGATATAGCATCTATATCTAACAGGATGGGATAGGAGTTCACAAGATACAGGTCATAAGGACTCCACTGATAAAACGGAATGCAGTTAAAAAGCCAGCCAAAACCAAGCTGGTAGTGAACATGACCTCTGGTTGTCCTCATTGCTCTGTACCCTAATTATCACATAACAGCTTGCTAAAAGACCCTCCCACCAGTGCATGACAGTTTACAAATGCCATGGCAACATCTGGAAGTTACCTTATATAGGCTAAAAGGAAGGGGAATCCTCAGTTCTGGGAACCCCCTACCTCTTGCCCAGAAAACTCATGAATAATCCACCCCTTTTTAAATATATAATCAAAAAATAGGCATAGATGACACCTAGCCAGGGGCCACTGGAGACTGGTTTTACCCAGCTGGGGTCTGGGAAGGGAAAGGGCCCCAGGGTGATGAAAGAAGAATAGAGATGAGATACCAGCAATCTCTCCCTTAAGTTTTTTTTTTTTTAAATACAATGTTTAGTCTCAGATTACAAAAGAAATAGGTCAATTATAGGAAATTTAGAATACAGAGTAAAAGAAAAAATAATTCATTCTGTAACCTAGAGAAGAACCACTGTTCTAGGCTCCACCTCCCCACCCCCAACTCATTTATAAAAACAATTGGGATCATATTGCCTATGTGATTTTGCAGCTGCTTCGGGTGCTTAATAACAGTTGTCGAACATTTCCTCGTGTCAAGGTAACTGCCATGACCGACTTCTCCTTTCAGTGTTCGTGCTGATTGATCACAGGAACTCCTGCCTGCCTAGATGAAGAGGAGGTCAAGACTTTGTCCACCACCCGCCAAAATACTCACTCTGTTCCGGAGTGGTGTGGGGCTGGCTCCTAACAGCCCCCTACCCCCCGTTAGGACCTTGTCTCCTTCAGGACTGGACCTGCATCCCGGGCCTGCAGTCGGATTGCCAGTTTCACTCAGAGATGGAAATGTCAACCCACTGTTTGGAGTGAAAAGGGGGGTGTGGGGTGGGGGAGTAGCTTCATTTCTATCTGCCCAGGAGGCCAGCCTCTTCCTGCCTAGGCATTTCCTTCCTGCAGTATGGGAAGGACCAGGCTTTCTCAGACCATAGAAGGTTGAGAGCCAATTCCGTCTGGAGCGAGTGGTGGCTACCAGCCTTGGGTCTACATAACTAGGGCTCCGCAGCCTTCTTGTGTACCCCTAGGAGGAGAAACACCTGGCAATTTAAATTTTTGAAAATAACTTTTAAAAACATTAGTATAGGGCTGGGCGCGGTGGCTCACGCCTGTAATCCCAGCACTTTGGGAGGCCAAGGCGGGTGGATCACGAGGTCAAGAGATTGAGACCATCCTGGTCAACATGGTGAAATCCTGTCTCTACTAAAAATACAAAAAATTAGCCAGGCACGGTGGCATGCGCCTGTAATCCCAGCTACTTTGGAGCCTGAGGCAGGAAAATTGCATGAACCCAGGAGGCGGAGGTTGTGGTGAGCCGAGATCCCACCATTGCACTCCAGCCTGGGTAACAAAAGCGAAACTCCGTCTCGGGGGGAAAAAAAAAATTAGTATAGCACACACACACACACACACACACACACACACAGAAAAGTCCACAAATCCTCACTAGATGAATGATCCCAACAGGCACACACCTCTGAAGTTAACACCTGGATCGAGAAACAGGAAATCACAGCAGCTGGCAGCTTCCAAGGAGAAGCTCCAGAAAGTTCTGCCTGTCTCATCACCTGGCTGCAGCGGAAACGAGTTTTCTTTAACAAGATTTTTAATGACTGACGGATGTGGACAAATCATAACTGAATGAATAACCTCCTTTGTTACTTTTTTGGTACTTTATTTGCTATTATAAATGATGCTGTAATAAGCACCCTTGAAGAAATCTTCATGTTTGCTTCTGCTGTATCACAGCAGTGTCACAGTGTCACAGTGCCCGGGTTTGGTTCTAGCCCTCATTTGTGAACTGTGTGACTCACTGTGCCTTTTTTTCTTTCTGTAAAATGGGAATAATGGTAAGAATTTAAATGGCGTAAGATGGAATGGGTTTAGTTCAGAGCTCGGGTTTAGCTGAGAGCAAGCACTCAGTAAGTATCAGCGATTAGTAGACTCAGATTAATTTATTAGAAGTTGGATTTGTGGTGAAAGGGTTAGAGTGTTTTTAAGGCTTTGGCACAGAAAATATCCATGTGCTCCCAGAAAGGTGGTTCCCATTTACCTGCCCGAACTGCCCTTACCCTTTCTGATACTGGACACTGTTTTCGAAATGAATATTAAAAATTGGATAGGTTAAAAACAAGCGGACACATTTTCTGGTTGCATTTTTTTCGTTACCTGTGAGAGTGAACACGTTGCCTTGTGTTTGTCGTCCTCCTAAATGGTCTACTTGCTCCTACCTTTGTACCCCAGAAGTCTGTTCTCAAGACGATAGCCAGAATGATCCTTTTGAGACATCGATCAAAATTTCACTCATCTGCTTAAAGCTCTGCAGTGGTTCTCAGGTTAAAAGCCAAAGTCCTGTTCGAGGCCTCCCAAGTCCTCACCATTTGGTCCCTTGCTCTTTCTGTTCCAGCCACCTTGGCCTCCTCCTGCTCTCCCGCCACACCCTGCTCTTGGCCATTTCCCCTGCTCTTTGTAGTCAACTCCCTGAACTTGTTCAAAGCTTCGCCCAAATGTCTCATTCCTCATGAGGCGCCACCAGCCCCTGAGTTCCCCATACCTCACTCCCGATGGCCTTACTTCACTCTTTTTTTTTCCCAATAGTACTTATCACCTTCTAAGATACTTCATGTTTACTTACTTGTTTGTTTGCCTCTCTCCAATAGAATGTAAGCTCCTTGAGGGCAGGGACCTTTGTCTTATTCACTGCTGTGTCCCATGTGTAAACTTGTCTGGCACAGAAGAGGTGCTCGATAAATATTTGTTGAGCGAATGAATGGTAAATTTTCTGTTCATATTCTTTGATTATTTTCTATTACAATGTTCATCTTTTTAGTATTGGTTTATAAGATGTAGTATATGTAGCCCCTTTTCATATATCTCATTGTCACATATTGTGCAACTAATTTGTCATTTCCATCAATTTCTAAAATACGTTTCTTGATGCTTCATTTTTAAGCTGTCAGATTATTAATCTTTCTTTATGGTCTTGGACTTTATTGCTGCATAACTGTTACCTTCACCGGGAACATATAAATTTTCAATTAAATGGCCGGGTGCAGTGGCTCACGCCTGTAATCCCAGCACTTTGGGAGGCCGAGGCGGATGGATCACAAGGTCAGGAGATCGAGACCATCCTGGCCAACATGGTAAAACCCCGTCTGTATTATTTTAAAAATATGTATTTTTAAAAAAAGAAAGTAAATATTCTTCTGTGACTTTATGATTTTATTTTACGTTTTTACATTAAACTCATTTTATCTTCATGTGTGGTAAGAGGTAAGAACATAACTTTAAAGCAAATTAAGCTTTAAAGTTTAAATTTATCCCTAAATGAATTATAAACCAATTGATCATTTCCCAGTGCTCTAAAATGCCATTTTATCATACACCGAATACTTTTGTGTGTTTGACAGAGTTTGCCATTCTGTTCCATTCCTATCACATCATTCTTACATGGGTATTTGTTGCCCTACTTTAATCATTGTAACTTTGTAATAAGGGTTAATGACTGAGAGTACAAGTTCCATGGTTTTATTTTTAATTTTTTTGAGACAGGGTCTCACTCTGTTGCCCAGGCTGGAATGCAGTGGTGCTCTCTCGGCTCACTGCAGCCTCTGCCTCCCTGGTTTAAGTGATTCTCCCGCCTCAACCTCCCGAATAGCTGGGAGTACGGATGCGTGCCACCACGCCCAGCTAATTCTTGTATTTTTAATACAGACAGGGTTTCACCATGTTGGCCAGGCCGGTCTTGAACTCCTGGCCTCAAGTGATCCACCCACCTCAGCCTCCCAAAGTGCTGGGAGTATAGGCTTGAGTCACTACGTCCAGCCCATTTTTTTCTTTTGATGTGTTCTTTGTGGTCATTTATATATTCTTTAAGATAAATTCTAGACTTTGTTTTCTGCCAAGATAAACCAGCAAACAAAAATCCCACTGGGCACTGCAATTGAATTTGTTTTGTAGATTAACTTAGTAATAATCAACTTCTTGGCACTGTTGAGTATCTCTGTCCAGGAGCATGGCATATCTTTCTATCATTAAGGTCTTTTTTTTATAGTTCTTTAGAAAAGCTTTATAAATGAATGTAGTGTGTGTGGTGCTTATTTTCATAAAATAGAGCAGCGACATCTGTGGCAGGCAGCTTCTGAAATAGCTCCCAGTGATCCTTAGCTTCTGGTAGTTACCCCTTTGTAGGATCCCTTTCCTTTGTGTATGGGCTGGATCTAGTGACTTGCTCATAAATAGAATATAGCAAAAAAAGAAAATGATGGGTTGTTACTTCTGAGATTAGGTTGTAAGAGGCTAATTTCTATTTTGCTGTAACTTTGTCTCTCTGACCCTCTAGCTTGCGTGCACTCATGAAGCAGCTGCTGTGTCGTGAGCCAGCTTATGGGAAATGCATGTGGTGGAGAACCAAGGGTGGCAGCTGGCCAACAGCAAGCCAGGAGCTGAGGCCCACAGCCCAAAAACTGGAGAGGAACCACAGGCTGCTAACAGCCATGTGAAGGAACTTAGAAGCAAATCCTTCCCCAGTTGAACCTTCAGATGACACCAGAGCCTTGGCTGACCCCTTAATTTTGCCCTTGTAAGAGATGTTGAGTCAGAGGACTTGGCTAAACCACGCCTGGATTCCTGAGTCGCAGAAACTTGAGATAATAAATGTTGTTTTAAGCCACTCAATTTTGGGGTAATTTGTTATATAGCAAAGATAACTAAGATAGCCCCCCCTTTTCGTATCATATTTCTAACAGTTTATTAGGAAATGTATTTTAGGCCAGGCACAATGTCTCACACCTTTAATCCCAGCACTTTGGGAGGCAGAGGTGGGTGGATCACCTGAGCTCAGGAGTTCAAGAACAGCCTGGACAATGTGGCAAAACCCTGTCCCTACTAAAAATACAAAAATTAGCTGGGCATGGTGGTGTGAGCACCTGTAGTCCCAGCTTCTTGGGAGGCTGAGGTGGAAGAATCGCTTGAGCCCAGGAGATACAGATTGCAGTGAGCCAAGAGCGCCCCATTGCACTCCAGCCTGGGTGACAGAACAAGACCTTGTCTCAAAAAAAGAAAAGAAAAGAAATTTTATAACTAGCCACATTAATATAAACTCTTATATTTTGATAATTTTGTATTTTTTTAGTTTTTTATGGGAAGACAATCGTATTTGTAAATAATTATAATTTGTTTCCCTCTTTTTGATGTTTTATATCTAATTGTGTTAGCTAAGATCTTTAGAATAATGTTAAATAACAAGCTATTAGAACTCTTTGTCTTGTTCTCAGATTTGATGGAATGCTACTTGTATTTTACTCTTGATTTTGGCTGTTGGTTTGAGATTTATTTATTTACTTTTATCACGTGAGATAAGTATATTTTGATTTCCCGTTTACCTGAGCTTTTAAAAAGAAAATCAGGAATGGATGTCACAATTTACCAAACATCTATTCAGTATGTAAAATGATCTTTTTCTCCTTTGCCCTGTTGCTGTGGTAAATCAGTTCACTACCATTCTAATACAGTTATTCATGCATTCCAGGAATGTTTGCTCACGGTGTATTCTTTTAATACATTGTTGACATACATTGGACTCGCTCTGATTAACTTTTCATTAGGACTCTACATCTGTATACATGAGGCTGGTGTATGACTCATTCATTCTGTCTCTCTTTGTGGCACTTGCAGGTTTTAGTGTCAGGGTTATTCTGGCTTTGCGAAAAGATTCGAGAAGGGTTTGAGTTAAGGTCCTGGCAAGAAACACTCACCCAAAAGTTTAACTAAAGAGACTTTAATGAAGGGACTGCTTATTGAAATCTGGATAAGGGGGCTGGTTGTGATGGTTCATGCCTGTAACTCAGCACTTGAGGTGGGTGGATAACTTGAGGTCAGGAGTTTGAGACCTCTTAGCCAACATGGCAAAACCCATCTCTACTAAAAATACAAAAACTTAGCTGGGCATGGTGGTACATGCCTGTAGTCCCAGATACTCAGGAGGTTGAGGCAAGAGACTCACTTGAACCCGAGAGGCAGAGCTTGCAGTGAACCAAGATGGCGCCGCTGCACTCCAGCCTGAGTGACAGAGTCAAACTCTGTCTCAAACAAACAAACAACAAGGAAATGTGGTTAAGGTTAAGGGAGCAAACAAGGGATGATGAGGTACCCAGAGACTAGACGTTATGGTGAATATTACTATCCTTAGGGCTTCAGGGACAACGGGAGGAACCAGTGTGACTGGAGCCCAGGGAGAGCTGGGACCTTGGAGAAGAGTTGCAGGCAAGAGCTGAGCTTTGGAGGAACAAAGGCCCTGCCAGAGAAAGGGCATGAAAAGAGGCAGGGCACAGATGAGATACACCAGCCCTTCTCACCTCCCTCCTTCCACACTCTTGTCCATACCCCCTGTGGTCTGACTCAGCAAGGAGCTGGAGGACAGGGGATCCTGGGTGATGAATGCGGTTTGTGGGGCTCTGGGCTGGGCAGGGAAGGAAGTGGCCCTGGTGTGATTTCTGTCTCCTGACTGATACGGGCATAACCACGTGTTTAACATGTTTTTAATATTCACTTCCAGGGCTTTTATACAATTTCTCTGGGTTGATTTGTTTTTTGTTTGTTTCTGTTTTGCTTGGTTTTTTTTGAGACAGGGTCTTGCTCTGTTGCCCAGGCTGGAGTGCTGTGGCGCTATCACGGCTCACTGCAGCCTGGACCTCTTGGCCTCAGTTGATCCGCCCACCTCCTGAGTAGCTGGGACTACAGGCCTGTGCCACCATGCCTGGCTAATTTTTTATTTTTTGTAGAGATGGGATTTTGCCATGTTGCCCAGGCTGCATTTTTTTTTTTTTTATTTAGAGAATTAATTTGGGCCAAAATTGAGAACTGTAGCCCAGGACTTGTTTTTTCACTCACTATTATTTTAATTATTTTGACTCTTGCTGACTTGGAAAGAGTGCATCTCTGAGTATTTTTTTCCCCATGGAAAGTAAAACCATACATGGCCTGTGTAGGAAAGTATTTTTCTGTTGCCTTCATGCATGAATGCACCAGGCAAGTTGTTAAAATGGGAGGTCACAACTGATGTCTCAAAATTCTACAGAAGAGTGATTCCCAAAGTGTGTTCTCTTGAGCACCAGTCTTGCCGCGTCGTCTAGGCAAAGGATTTCGTAGTCATATAAGTTTGGAAGATGGCGCTTGCTAATGCTGTTGGTTTAACAACATGCATGAACCCGTTAAAAGCCCTGAGAAAGCCTCAGCATGGGGTTTGTCTTGTTTTGTTTAATTCAGCATTTCCCGAGCTTATTTTATGATGGAAACTTTTTTCCCCCAGCATAAATAGTTAACCAAATTCCACAGACTCTCTCTTTCAATTACACACTTTAAGCAATGTTGGGCTGGGTGTTGTGGCTCACACCTGGAACCCCAGTACTTTGGGAGACCGATGTGTGAGGATCCCTTGAGCCCATGGGTTCAAGCCGGCCTAGGCAACATAGTGAGACTCTCATATCTACAAAAAAATCAAAAAATTACCTAGGCATAGTGATACATGCCTGTGGTCCCAAGCTACTTGGGAGGCTGAGGTGGGAGGATCGCTTGAGCCTAGGAGGTTGAGGCTGTAGTGAGCTGTGATCACACCACTGCACTCCAGCCTGGGTGACAGAGTGAGACCCTGTCTCAACAACAGCAACAAAAATTAATGTAGATATTTCTCCATATTTCTCTCTGCGTGGGTGCTGATAGAATTCTTTCTTTACCCTTGCAATTCAGAAATTCTGCATGGCATTTCCAAGTGTTCAATTCTTTTTATATTGATTGTTTTATTATTTTTATAATAATAATTTATTCCAAATGTTCAATTCTTTTGTTAATTTGACTTAAGGAGAACCTTTTAAATGTGTAAGCTCAGGCTTCTCATCAGCTCAGGAATATCTTCTTTCTCCTGTGATTCTTGCTTTTGTTTCATTTGGTTAGTGTTTTTTTTTTTCTTCTTTTTTTGAGAGGGAGTCTTGCTCTGTCATTAGGCTGGCATGCAGTGTTGTGACCTCAGCTCACTGCAACCTCCGCCTCCTAGTTCAGGCAATTCTCCTGCCTCAGCCTCCCGAGGAGCTGGGACTACAGGCACATGCCACCATGCCCAGCTCATTTTTGTATTTTTAGTAGAGACGGGGTTCACTATGTTGGCCAGGATGGTCTCGATCTCCTCACCTCATTATCTGTCCGCCTCGGAATCCCAAAGTGCTGAGATTACAGGTGATACCTTTCATGTTCTCTCTGTTTTTTATCCTGTTGAGCTTTTCCTCTGCAGTCTCAGAGAACTTCTCCTATCTGTCCTTCACATTTACAGATTCAATGTTCTGTCGTTCCAATTCTGTTCTTTACCATCTTGATGGAAATTAACATTCTGCTGCATTTTTAGTTTCTCTGCACCCTTTCTTTCTCTCCTCTGGTTTGTTTCTGATTTCCACCTGCCTCTCAGCCAGCAGCCTTCTCATTTCATTCTTTCCATCTTCTCTTTCAACTCTCATTTCTTAGAGCGCACACTTTAATTAAAAGAGTTGAGTACAGAGCAGACGTGGTCTGCAAGTTATTCATGTTTATGTGATAAACCTTTTCAAAGGAATTATTTTTCTCTGCCCTTTCAGAGCCACGTTCTCTTCTTTGCCTCATGCAGAGTCTTCAAAGGCTCTGTGTATTTCCAAGTGTATGTGTGTGCATGTGGGTTTGCGTGTGGGGGTGTGTGTTTGCTTTTCTGTGTACTCCTACTTTAAAAACGAGTGCTTTAAACTTCAAAAAAAATTATTTTTTAAAAATGTATTCATTTAGAGACTGGGTCCCACTATACTGCCTGGGCTGGCTTCAGACTCTTGACCCCAAGTGATCCTCTGGCCTCAGCCTCCTGAGTAGCTGGAATTCTAGGCAGGCACCACCACATCTAGTTAAAAATGAATGTTTTATAAAATCTTATTCTTTTCCCCCAAACAAAGAGAAGGAAATGGATTCTCTTTAGGTCACCCTTCGCCTGGATGTCGCTCCAGCTGGCTCGTCATATTTTAGGACTGGTTAATGCAGTTTCTCATCACCGGTTGGCTATGAAGACAAACCACATGTGACATATCTCCCCACTTGTCACCAGAGTCACCTGCCAGTGGCCAAGCTGGCTTCAGGGTTTGTGTGTGTGTGTTTGTGTGCAAATGTCCCGTTCTTTCCCCCACTCCAGGTAGAGCTTCCAAGGGCCACTACCAGCTCGGGGATCTAGCTGGGACAAATGTGTGGGAGTTACTGGGGCCAGGCCTAGCAGGAAACCTTGCCTCTGCACCAAGGGCCAGGTCTATCTGCCCACTGCCCAGGGTCTCCAGGCTGTTCCTGTAGGTATTCCACATAGCCACGGCAAGACTTGTGCCCACATTAACAAGAAAGGAGGAACATGGAACTAGAGAGAAACTGATGGAGGGAAGAATTCCTCCCACTCCACCCAGCTCAGTTGCTCAGTTATCTGCTTGACATGGCAACCACATACCCCACCCCAGCCCATCTCCCAGTCAGCTGTTTCCCAAGGCAGTTGTAGTATGGAAAGGGCTTTCCAAAGATGCCCTTACACGCCCCATGTCCCACCATCTGTCCTAATTCAGGGTCAGTACATTCTGTCAGGACCTCATCTACTTCTCATGCTACAGTTTTGCTTTCTCAAACATTGGAGT